ACGTTACTAAGTGTTTTTATGTGTTTTTAGACATAAAAATAAGAACTGATTTGGTTCTTTTCTTTTTGAATGTTGACACAATTATTCTGCAGTTGCGAAGGCTGACCACCGTATGACAGTGTTGGGTGATTCTCACTGCCATCAAAACCTATTCTTATCATAGAAAATGACATTTTAATAGCTGTCCACTGTAGTGACCGTCATGCATGAAAGGGTTAATATTCAGAACGTTTTAAGAATATGATTTATGGGAGGGATATACAGTATAATAGGTAAATTATGAAATGCTCTGAGTATATCTGAGTTTTGGGTTGTTTAGATAAAAAAAATAAAGATTTTGTAAAGCTTTTTTAAAAAATATTTCTAATAAAAATGAAACAATATATAAAGACTAAAACAAATGGTGTTTTTTTTTTGACACACACATAAATGAATCAATCTTACCCGGCGATGTCAGTCTCTGGATGCTCAGGGGCTGGGCAACAGAACTGGTGCAGCACAACTTCACTCCTGTAGAAGGACAGAGAAGATGACAACACAGAGGAAAGAGAAAAGAGAAGGCAGTCAAGGTTAAAAGGGTAGTATGTCAAGGTTCTAAACAGGTTCTTGGTATTATCCCAACTCTTCATGGGAATTTGTCCCATGTGACTGAGAGTAAGTGGTGGTGATTTACTCGGTTACATTTACTCGAGTAGGTTTTGTCATAATAAAACACTTCTGGTACTGTTTTAAATCACTATAACTTTTGACTTTTACTTGAGTAGATTTATGAAGATTCTACTCTCGTTACTCGTTACAGAGTCACTGGATTACGCTTTAGCTAGCCAGTATCCAGTTATCTATTCATCCATGATCCACTATCTCTGCTTTTATTTTGACTGAGAGAGACTTCCGCTCAAGGCTCTACCGTGTGACTTAGTTTAACCAATAAAGCGTCACCCTGGCCATGCCATGTCTCGTCACGTGACCGTAGTCACTCTCAGCGGCGGGACGGGTTAGTTTAGTGGCTACTGCGGACGTCTTTGATAGCAAAAAATAAGGTAGAATCAACGGTCGGTAATGGACTCATATTGAATGCATGTTCAGTTTACAAACCAGTGCGGAACAGCTGTTACATCATGCAGGGTCTTTTGTGTCTACCCAAAACAAACGGATATTTCGGCATTCAAAAACTCAAAATGAAATATGTTGCGGTAAGTTTGACCTAAATTTTTTTTAAGTTATTTTGTAATTTTTTTTATTGAAGTACTTGAATTTTTACCTAAAGATGATCTTATTTTAAGGTATTCAATTGATTTGTTTTATTTGATTATTTTATTGATAGGATAGAATAGAATAGTCGTCACCGTCATTATGTTCAGTTAAAACATCTTTTTTAAGTTATTTTGTAATTTTTTTTTTCATAAAACTGGGGAAAGCTTCTCCGCAACTCTCCTCTCTGTAATTTTGTCTATCTGATCGAATGCTCATTTAAAAATAAATCAGATGTTACTCAACAGTTACTCGGTACTAGTCACTCAAGTATTTATTTGGATAGTAATAAATCGTGATATTATTCTGAAGTAACAGTACTTTTTCTTGAATACAATTTTTCACCTCTGCTGACTTTACTTACTTTTAACAAACAACAAAAAGACAGCAACAACTTTTTTTTTCATTTCAATTTCAATTTTTCAATCAATAAAAAAAAAGAATTCATTTAAGTATTAAAGTAAAAAAAAAACAAAAGACAGGATATTTTTTACAAAGCACATACATAGCAGGGATATGTTAATGTCTGTTCACCAGAATGGAGTAAGGCGGTTAACATTCATTATGGGAGATGTAATTTATGGTGAATGTACACTTGATTCGAATTTAAATCGAATTTGCCATGCTTGTTATACACACAGAATTTTACCACTTCATTTAACTCATCCAGTAAACATTAACCCTTTGATGCATGGCCCATGATATACTGAGTTAAAAAAATGTTGCTAAGTGTTTTTATGTGTTTTTAGACATAAAAATAAGAACTGATCTGGTTCTGTTTTTATACACCAAATTTTCTTTTTGAATGTCGACACAATTATTCTGCAGTTGCAAAGGCTGACCACTGTATGGCAGTGTTGGGTGATTCTCAGGCGTCCACTGTAGAGGCTTATATGCAACACTGCCATCAAAACCTATTCTTATCATAGAAAATTACATTTTCATAGCTGTCCACTGTAGTGACCGTCATGCATGAAAGGGTAACGAATGTTAACCTCTGGTGGGCCAAAGTGAATTAATTTGCTATATGTGTACTAGCCATAAGATATCGAAGAAATAGCTGCTGGTAAATGAAAAAAAAAGGAAAGGCCCCAGAGAAGATTAACAATTATATATCGTAATAAAAATAACATGAGTAAGTTTGGTAGTAGTACTACACGCTTCGGTAGAAAACCGATTCATCTGTTAAATTTGTTATGTAACAACTAGTAAAGACAAAGCGGTAAAGACGACATGTAAAGAAAACAGACACATGGTAAAATAAGATAATCAATTTAAAAATAAAAATCATTATAAAAATGATCAATTATCGAAATTTAAAAATAAAAATCATTATAAAAACGATCAATTATCGACATCGTCAGAGCTTCCGATAACAGCTCAACTACCAAAAATGGTAATCTAATGCCGTTTAACTTCACATCCTTTAGTGCCTAAAGTCAAAAGATAATTGCAAGACTGGACATTCCCTGCATTTCATTGCCCAGAATCTTAATCAGATTACAAATGAAATTGCAAATAATATGGTCGAGTTCGTAACTTCCAACCTATTTGTCTACGGCAATATACATTGTACGGACCATTAGTCCCTAACATTTTAACATTTGCCTTGTTTGTATTTGGCTTTTTTTTTGTTTTGTTTTTTGGCCTGATCTCTTTTACTGTTGCGATCCTGCATCTGCGTACCGTTTGATCCCGAGACACCTCCCAGGTCTGCATCAAAGACAACAACAGAGCGAGGATCTCTGCTCTGCTGTTCAGTCTTTCTGCCTTTTTCTCTCTCCAGAGAATGGCTGATTACTGTACGCTCCGCAAGCTAAGTGGGGCAAATGGAGGAATAAGCAGAGAAGACACTCACAATCATCACACTATACTGCAACTGTGCATATTCGTGTACACTGTGTGATTGTGTTGTTACATAAGATATAAATCAACAATTCGATAAAAAAAAGGTAATTACTCCAAGTTCTTTTTTTTCTATTTTCATTAAAAAAATCTTTATACATATTTTTTAATATATAAGTCGCACCTGAGTATAAGTCGCAAACCCAGTCAAACAATGAAAAAAAAAGGTGCGACCTATAGTCCGGAAAATACTGTAACCCAGATTCTGGGATCATATCTTGGTGTCAATCTTCATAGTTACTATCACTAGCCAATCATCTAGCAGCAAGCAAAGGAAGCTGTATGAATGGTAGGGTTGGCTGTAGCTTAGTAATGTAACATGAGCGTCAGGGGCGATTTGTGACTGGAGAATAGCCGCAAAGGTGAAAAGGATGGTTTATACTAGAGTAGTGACACCTGCTACGATGCATGGTTCTGAGACAGTTGCTCTGTCTACTAGACGAAGGGCTGAGTTGAAAGTTGCAAAGATGAAGACGCTGAGATTTTCACTTGTCACCTGACCAGGCTGATGGACAGCAATAAAAAATTAGCAGGTCAAATGGGAAATTAAGGTGGGGTAGTTTGGAGCTGAAGAGTATTACTTAACCCTTTCATGCATGACGGTCACTACAGTGGACAGCTATTAAAATGTCATTTTCTATGATAAGAGTAGGTTTTGATGGCAGTGTTGCATATAAGCCTCTACAGTGGACGCCTGAGAATCACCCAACACTGCCATACAGTGGTCAGCCTTTGCAACTGCAGAATAATTGTGTCAACATTCAAAAAGAAAATGTGGTGTATAAAAACAGAACCAAATCAGTTCTTATTTTTATGCCTAAAAAAACCCCATAAAAACACTTAGCAAAATTTTTTTAACTCAGTATATCATGGGTCATGCATCAAAGGTAAAGGTAGTAAAGACAAAGCGGTAAAGACGACATGTAAAGAAAACAGACACATGGTAAAATAAGATAATTAATTTAAAAATAAAAATGTTTTTTTTTTTCATGCATATGGAAAAGAAAATAGTGAGATCAAGAATAGAAGTGAAGAAAGAAATTAAACGGGAACATTAGGGGTTCAAGGAGAAGCAGTTGGCCGGCAACAGTATTTCAGAGACAATAATTAGTGAGAAGTCGAAGCAAACATTCATGCAATCACGACTCCTCAGCACCAGTAAGGATGAATGACATTACCTTTCCTATTTATAGCTTTATTCTTTATTCAGTTGTGTTTATCTTTTTTTGTTAGATTTAATTCATTTATTGGTTTTTGTTTTGTATGAACTTGTACACAAAATACTGTGGAAGAAGTTTGAATAATCAGTCATCCGGGGTCCAGGAACGGATTAATCCATTTTACATTGATTCCTATGGGGAAAATTGCTTTTTTTTTAAAAACTTTTCGGTTCACGAACGGCCTTCGGGAATGAATTAAGTTCGATAACCGACTGTATATGTATTTGTTCAAATCTCTTGTTGCAACTCAAATCTGTTTAAAATAAATATGGCGCGTATGTTTCAAACTACAACTACTATGAGATTTCCAACAAATGTCCATTTATACAGCCGCAGGAAATGATGTTCGTTTATTTAGAATTCGTTACGATTGACTGTCTGTTGAGCAACATATTTCCTCCAATTACCGCGTCACGGCAAAGTCGAATTAAGCCTGGGCTCCTTCACCATTGTACATGCAATATTGTCCCAAAAATACAGTTCAAACACACGTGAACTCTGCAGTAACAGAGTGTTGCAGAGGCTCACTCTGTTTTCTTTTGAATTCCCCACCTCTGAAGCTGTAAAGAAAAGAAAAAAGTCTAGCAGTAGTGATGAAGAGGCTCTGTGACTCATCAGTGCATGTGAAGCTCGAACAGATAACAGTATGTAGCTAACACTAAGCACTGTAACAATTGTGCATTTCCAGCGTATGCACACACACACATCCTAATAGGCCTACAGCTGTTTGTTACGTAATGATCGAGTAAGCGTAATCCAGTTGTTATCTAGTGATTCTCCCTCTCTGTACACGTGCAGACACACACACATATCTGTACAAAGCAAAGCATTGGGACTTTTTGTAATTACTTCTCCTCCTTTAGATAAAAGGCACTCATTGAATGATCAATGACTTACGGTAAGGGTTAGGGTAAAAAAAGAAAAAAAATAACACAGATCAACCCAAAAAATGTTTTTTAGGTTTTATGTTTTTGTTATTTGAATCAAGGTGCTTTATATAAAATGAAGAGCTATGTGTGAAGAGCTCTATCATGTATTATAATCATAAGACAACTGTAAGGAAAAATATGAAGCCATATGTGTTTGAAATAAAGTAGTCCTTTGAAGTCCTTTTTATACGTTTCTGTTTTAAATTTAAATTTATACAGTAAATTTTACTTTACTGTATTTGAAGTCCTTTTTATACGTTTCTGTTTGAAAATTGTTTTAAATTTAAATTTATACAGTCAATTTTACTTTACTGTATAAAATTTAGCGTTCCTTCAAAGTGTCAAAACACACAGCTTTACGGTTTACACCCACAGTTCACTTTCACAATCTAGAAAAAAAAATAGCATAATTGTATAATCAACGTGTGCAAAATGTTATTCAATATATTTACGTGTGTTGTTGAAGAATATAGAATTTAGCAAAAAACACATTGAGTTAGAAGCCTTTGGTTTGATTTAATTCTTTTCTAACGGGCAAGCGCATTTGACTAATTTGATTCCCCTTGCGTTGCTTACAATTTCATATTCAAAATGATATCAAAAACTATCATTTGAATATATACTGTCGAGAGATATGGTTTCCATTCACTTTCAACGAAGTAGGGTGTATTGATTTCGCATTAGTACGTGACGAGTTATTTTCCAAAATAAAACAAAGAAACAAACAAAAAAAGTCTCTAAATTTCACCCATCTCCGTTGCAAAGGAAAATAAATTGCTCTTTTTGTAGAAAATGTTTATTGGGAGGTCTCGACGTTTAGTGCATTTTTGTCTTGATTCGTCAAGGCCAACTATTGGCGGTGTACATGCTAGCAGTCAATCCAAAGCAGGACAAGTACAAGCCCCGCGTTTAAATTGTTGAGATTTTTTTTTATGTTCTCTATCTCCATAGTCATCGACAAATCAGTCAGAATTGCACTTTTGCCTCATTTTTTTTAAGGCTTGTCACGCAGGAGGTTTAGCACGACAGTTTCTAAATCACAGAAACCACACAGTCATCTCTCTGTGTTCATAATGGCAAACATAACCACATATGTGCTTGACCATTTACAATTTTGCTATTTTTTTTTTTTTTTTTTAAACTTTTCGCTTACTGTGACTATAAAAACACAGAGGTCCCCACAACACGGAGAAAACCGTGGACCAAGCTCAAACAAACCGCTGACTCTTACTTACTCGGATTTCCGTGCCAGGGCCAGAGATCTACAAACGCTCGTCTGGGTCATATGCACTAACGAGCGACAGCTGGAGCAACCTCCGCCGTTTTCCGAGTTGTCGTGTTCAATATGAAAGCTCGTGGAAGGCTCGGCCGGAACCAACTGCATGTTTTCTTGGTCAGTTGGTTGCGACGGCGTTAAAGAAGGCTGCCCCCTCGTCGTGTCCTCGACCTGTGCTGCTGCAGCAGCTGCATGCTGTGGCAGGGAGCCAAGCTGAGAGTCCTGAAAGGTATGGTGGTTGTAATGATGGATCCTGTTTGGATCAGGGAGGTTATGGTGATGGCTGTGGTCGTGAAGACACAAATGCTGCTGCTGCTGCTGTACCCTGACATCCTTCAAGTAACTGTTCTCGCTGATAAGCTCGTCCACCCGCCGATCCAGCTCTTCTATCCGCGCACGCTGGGTTTGGATCAGACTCTGTTGGTTCTGGACGATGGTGGTGAGCTCCCGCAAGTACAAAATCGCCTGCACTGGGTTTTCTAGCAGACTGGAGCTCATCATTAAGCCCGATTGAAGAACAGAATTCAAATGAGAAGATTTTTGAGGAATTAAATGACGGCGGGAGCAGTAAATTATGGCCGACTGCGGAAAAAAAAGGTGAGCTTAGCTCCTCTGCTAGGTCTGTGCTTGGCTAAGGATGAAAATACATCTCTCCTCCTCCCTCTCTCCTCCTGTGTGTGAATCTCTCTGTCTTTCTCTCTCTCTCTCTCTCTCTCTCTCCCCCTCCCTGTGCACAAAGTGGTGCTGATGAGAGGAGCAAACTCCAGATGTGACGTTTATAGGGGAGGGGCGATGAGCAACTGCTACGTCATGACGCAAATCGCGGAAAAAGTTCCATAGTGAGCCCATAAGAACGCGAGAGACACGTACTAGGGCACAGCGGTTTAGTCTACAGTATATAAACGAAGAACTACGTGGTTGGTGGAATACATGCTGTTGGCCACGACACTGTGGGTGGAATTTGAAAATGTGTCGCTCAAGTTATTAAGAAATTGTCAAGAGACACGGTTCTCCTTGCCTACTCCTTTAAAAGGTGCGAGGTATTGATTCCTGTTAGTATGTGAGTTTCTAATAACCAAAACAACTCTAACCAACTCTTAAACTCTACACTTTCACCAGAAAAAGTTTAAAAAGTTTGGAAAAAAACTTCAAATACAATATAGTTTCCGTAATAGATAGATAGATAGATAGATAGATAGATAGATAGATAGATTTAAATGCTAAATGGAATGCGTCATAAAATCACACAATATATTCGGATTATTTACCCAGTTTATACATATAGACAGCAGGTATTACATAATTTTGAAAAAAAGTATTAGATTAAATAAACACCTAAGGGTTACAAAGGTTACACATTTTAAGTTTTTTTTAGAAGTCATAGATTAAAACCCTTCTTCGTCTTTTACATCACTATTTCAATAAATTAAAGTTTCAGGATATATTCAGGATTTAGCACATCGTTTTGTGTCATGTTTATCTATATTAACACCGGATATCGTTACGCCAATCAAACTGCAGCTACTCTTGACCACGTGACATACGTGGTGAAGTCACACGTGAGCGGATACGGAAGTAAAGAGTCGTTTCTGTCACCTGACTACTCCGGCTGTAAACACCGACAGCACGTATTCTTTATAACGTTTATTGCAAAAAAACAAAAAAAAACAAAAAACGCCACGGAAACGTCAACTAAAGTCATGCTGAGGTAAGAATTACGCTGAAATTGATGTTCTGTTGAACGTATACGTAAGCGCATACGATATCACCAACCTCCTTTTTTACGTTAATTACGAGTAGAATGCCGTTTCTGAGTTATATCCCTATGCATACGAGTTAGATTAAGTGCCTACATCGAATTTGACATTTGAAAAAAAGCACAAATCCTGTGCTATTGTGTTGCTTTCTATGTGTTTTATCCTGTTGTGTCGTAGCTTTGTATTTTGCCGACACAATTTTGATTTACGGCGAAATATTCTCTTTACGGCGTGTATATGACGTGCAAGCGTAATTCGGTCCAGTTTTTTTTGTTTTGTTTTGTTCAAAAATACTTAACATAACAATAAAATGATAGAATTGCGATTGCATAAGACTCAGTGATATAATCACAATCATAGATAATCACATCTTCGGTAGTTTGTTTGTTTGTTGTTTGATTAGAATGTTAGGGTTGTAAGGCTTTCTTAAAACGTGTCCCTAGCCTTAGGGGTGGTGACATTGAAGGAGAATGGGTCATGACAAGGCTGACCAGGCCTTCAATAGTGTTATGGTTTAATTCAAGAGAAATGTCTGAGCCATTACAGCTTGGTGCCAACATCTTGTAGGACAACCAAAACATGGTTATAAGCAAGGACAGAACTGCCTTTGGGGGCAAAGGCTCCAGGCTTTTCTCTGGGTTTGCTCCTGGAGCCTTTTCTGTGTGTGGGTGTTTCCAGGAGGCATCAGTGTATGACCTTCATGTGTGTATGTATGGTAGCTATGGCTAAGGTAATGTGATTTTAAAATCATGCACAAAACAAATGATATTATTAAAGTCATTTACTTTAATGGCGATTTGGCAAACATGACACCGAATTGGATCATATTTTTAAAATATATTTAAGAGTATATCACTTTGAACTGCTTCATTTTATATTCACATACTTTTTTTAAAAAAAAACCCTGCTGTTTGTCAAAAAGGAACCAGAAGTATGGGCTGGAGGGCCAAGTGTATACAGTGCCTCTCATCCAACCAGACCTGAGGAGAGAGGAGGCTGTCCTCCAGATTGCAGATGCATTACTCTATTTGGAGGCTATTTCTACAGATATTTTCAAAAGGTAAATGACTCGATGTATTTCTGTGAATTAATGCGATGTTTGTATTAGTTTGGAATAATTTACATAACTTAAAAATGTCTGCATAAACATATAAAATACAAGAAAAAATACAAATGGTTTCATAGTGTAGCAGTTAGCATGTCTGCAGTGAGCAGAGAGTCAACTTCAAATTGACTTGCACTTAAATTGTGCAATGTTAGACATTTTCCTTGATACCGTGTCTATATTTGTGTGTGTGTTGCTCCAGAGTGTTAGAGAGTGTGGAGAAAAATCGTTGTCAACTACAGACAATAACCGACAGGATTAGACTTGCCCAAGCACGTGTTGACAAAATCAAAGGCAGTAAAAAAGCCACGAAGGTAAAGCTAAAACCAAAATACAAAAATAAATATGGTTCAGTCCGTTGTGTAATCTTTTGAGTATGTCTTCAGGTTTTCTCCAGTGCCAAGTACCCAGCCCCAGACCGACTCCAGGACTACTCATCTATCTTTACTGGGGTCACAGACCCATCATCGCAAAGTCATCCCCGCCATAGGATACAGAATAAGCTTCGGCCATTTAATGAGAAGGCCCTGCAGGTGAGAAGTAGAAGTGGACTGAATAAAGTAGATTACCGTGAGTCTTATTTTTTTTAAAAAAACATCTCTAAGCTAATATAAAAAAGGTAAAAAAAAGGCCAAGCCATTTAATGAGAAGGCCCTGCAGGTGAGAAGTAGAAGTGGACTGAATAAAGTAGATTACCGTGAGTCTTATTTTTTTTAAAAAAACATCTCTAAGCTAATATAAAAAAGGTTGGACCATGAATTGAACTAACAGTTGAACTACTGGTCTCAGCCAGTTTTAATTACTGTAATGTTTTGGACTATTGAGCACACCTGAATATAAGTCGCACCCACTAAATTTAAAGAATGAAAAAAAAATAGTTGTAAATAAATGCTTTTTCCGAACAATGCCTGTATCCCGGCTGGTTACAACGTTAGTTTTCCTGCTTCTGTGCCCCGACCGTAGTGTGAAATGCACAGGGGAGACTTTCTGCCATCTGCTTCAGGTCCAAAGCTAACATTAGCTCCGCGGCTAACTCCCTTCACTTTGTGCTTGTCCGCAACAGAGTTAAACAGAAACAGGGAAGTTGGGGGTCTTTATTATCAACAGAACATAAACAGCGTTTTAACTTAGCTCCAGTAGAACCAACTCACGCTTCAACATGACAGGGCTCAAACTGCTCTCAACTTTCGCTACCATTTTCTCTCGCGCGCGCCCTACGCACATATACACACACACAGCCATTCACAGTAGCCTACCAGAAAAATTGATTGCTAGCGGTATGAGCTTTGCTAGCCCGTAAAAATCCATAAATTAGCTGCATCACCGTTTAAGCCGCAAGGGTTCAAAGCGTGTGGGAAAAAAGTAGCGGCTTATAGTCCGGAAGTTACGGTAGTTGTTTTAAAACAGGTCGCATGATGAAAAAAACAGTTAACTCTTTGTCTTCCCTGATAGCGTAAGATAAGCATGGCCATAGCACCTTTAAGAAACAACAAAAAAGGTGGATGCCCAATATAAACCAGCACAAAAATCTGGACGGAGCTATTAAAAACTGGACCGTGCAGCAAGTGTTTTTTTTTTTGTTTTTTTTGTCTGATGCAGTTTTATCTAATTTTATCCTGTCTCTGCTTTCCTCTTAGGAGAAGTTGATGTATTTCCCAGTGTGTGTAGGAGGCAAGAAGAAATCTAAGGACGAGACAGAAGAGGGACTAGGAAGTCTGCCTCGCAACATTTCATCTGTCAGCTCACTTTTGCTCTTTAATACCACAGAAAACCTGTTAGTCCACATAAAGTAATATAAGAAACTTTTTTGTGAGTGTAAACAAAATGTCATATTTCATTCACATGTGTTCTGTTTTCTTTGGTTTTCAAGATATAAGAAATATGTGTTCCTTGATCCTTTGGCTGGAGCAGTGACTAAAACACACACGACACTGGAGACAGAAAAAGAAGAGAAACCCTTTGATGCACCGCTCTCTATTACGAAGAGAGAACAACTGGAGCGACAGGTGCCACACTCAAATTTGAAACCAACAACGTTTTGTTGTCTGTGATCTCCCTTTCATCCGTTCATTCACGGATAGATGAGAATTAGCCCCTTTTACTGGGAAACAGAAACCCCCTCTTTCTCTGTTATCATCAAAGTGTGTTACCTTTCACACAGTTTGACTTTTCACAGTTTTCTCCTCGTCCAATCCAACAGTTTTTTTTGGTGCAGATCAGTGATTCTCAATTATTTTCCGTCAGGCCCCTCCTTGGGGGACAGAAATGTTTTCATGCTCCTCCTCTCCCCCTGACCCTGTATGATTTGCTGCCACCTAGTGGCTGGAGATTTGTTATCATTCAAGCATTACAGCAGTGGGACACTTATGTCCAGTGTGCCATGATCCATTGGAAGCCCCTCACGCCCCCCTAAAGCAAGTCCTTGCTTTGCAAGTCATAAGTAAGTCTCAAGTCTTTGCACTCAAGTCCGAGTCAAGTCTCAAGTCAAGAGAGGCAAAGTCTGAGTCAAGTCCCAAGTCCTTATGTTTCTGTTTCAAGTCCTTTTAAACAAAATAATAATATATTTACACAGATCACTTTGGGATTTGGGAGAAAGTATCAAGTCTTGTCGAGTCAAAGGGCTTGAGTCCAAGTGAAGTCACGAGTCATTGATGTTAAAGTCCAAGTTGAGTTCCAAGTCTCTTTACATTCGGTCAAGTCCAGTCTAAAGTCATCAAATTGATGACTCGAGTCTGACTCGAGTCCAAGTCATGTGACTCGAGTCCACACCTCTGACTGACCTTTTGTTTGGAAACATTGCCAGATTATCTTTTAATGGAAAAAACTAAAGGGATGTGACTGAATTATTTTTAAATGAAGGAAATAAGTGAAACTGAAGTACATTTTTTTCACGGTGTCCCACTGCGGCCCGGGACCAAATGACCTACAGAGCAGTTATTGCAAGTGTCTGGCCTAATACTTTTGGTTTTCAGATGTGTCCAATGTTGAATTTGAGGGATTAGGATTGTCATTATGAGGCATGTCAATAGATCAAAATTTGAATCGGATTTGTTTCTGCATGTTGCCGGAAAGCAAAAAAGAAATAACGATAGGCACATGTATGTGTTTCACATTTGTTTTTATTTGTGACAAGTTTTTATTTTACTTTTAAGATAGCTCCTTTCAGGCTTACGTGACGTGTTTATATTTTTACATATGGTTTATGATAAGATCAATTTGTCCAAATACCTATTAATGTCGTATATATTTGCAATTGATTTTCATTTTCACCTTTCTCTTTCAGACAGCAGAAAGTTATTTTTATGTGCCAGACCTGGGAGAAGTGCCTGATCTAGATGTGCCATCGTATCTGCCTGACCTGCCAGGCATAGCAGATGACCTGTCCTACAGCGCCGACCTTGGTCCTGGTTTTGCTCCTTCAGGATTTCTGCAGAGCATCCCTGAGCTTCCTTCGTTTGTCTCTAGCAGTACGTCTTGTTTACAGATCTGTGAATATTTTTTTTTTTGTCACCATGCACTTCCATTGAGGCAAATGGCAATAATTCCTTTAATACTGTTATGTCATAAGGACCATGTAAAAATGACAATATAGCGCACAAGATTGGGCCTGAAAATACACTTCCTGCAGCTCTGAGGCTAATCTGATTGTTTACTTGGGACACGTGAATTTTTTCTTTTCTGAGAAGAAATGTCCTGGTCTGATTGGTTCGGAAGACATTGTAGCTTCAAATCATTTCAGTTTAAAATGGTACATATTTCTTTACATTTAACAAACAATTGAATAACACACCAAACTGTGAGACAGGTGTCAAAAAGGTTAAAATTCTAAAATGCTTAAAGCCTTTTCTACACCATCTATTGGAGAAATGTGGGCATTGCAGGGAATATGGCCCCCGGGCCGTAGTTTGCCCATGCCTGCTGTAAGAGCAAATATCCTACTTGGTGGAAACTATGCTTGGTGTCATGGAATTGTTTTAGTTTAGTGCGTGTACACACTGTATCTTTGTACATGTCATTGCCTTTTATCTCTTTACAGGAAGTCAGTTGCAGCTCGATGCACCACCTCCTGCCCCCCCCGCGCCTCCTCCCCCACCTGAGCCCATCGTCAGCTCCACTGGCCCTGCTGGAGCTCCGCCTCCACCACCTCCTCCTGTGAACCGCTGTCCAGAAGTCCCTTTAGCAATAAGCTCAGGTTCGTAACATGCAACAAAAAAACCCCCCAAAATTCAGATTAACAGTAAAATTATCGCAAAAAAAAAAACTAGCTTTAGCTTTGTTAACGAACACAGCATCGAGCATGCACTTCTGTTCCTCAACGCTGATTGCACGCTCATGCATCGTAGCATCTTTCAACATCTCCCCTTGTCCACCAGTGGCGCCCTAATTTAACGTCCTACGATGCCTCCTAAACGCTCTGATCGTCTTCTCAGGTTTGTTACGAAGCCCGAAGCGAAGACGCTGACACGGATGACGGTTACCAGCCTTTATTTTTCTTTTACAATAATGTGTGCTCCTGCGCTGTGACCCGGCTTTTATATACACGGTCCGTCCGTCTTGGCCAGTATCACTCCTCACTCCTGTTCACTAACCTCTCTCCTACTAATATAAGGAGAGGCTACA